CGGCCACCAGGCTGGGACCAGCCCCACGTCTCCCACCCACCTCTTCTCAGCCGAGGGCACTTTTTTGGGTGGCTCGATCCTAATGTTGGGATCCCACTCGCCGGGCGGCAGGACGATGACTTCATCCAGAAACTCATCTATGCCGGCGATCAGGTCTTCTCGATCCCGGGCTTTGTAGGCAACATCGCTGAAGAGCTGGGGATGGAGAGAGGAGAGGTGTCAGCCTGGGAACGGCACCCAGCGCCGCACGTATCCCACGTCGTTACGGGATTTTAAACCTCATTAATTTGGGTGATAGGATGAAAATTGCTTTTTTTTTTCTTGACTCTGAGCAAGAGGGGTCTCAGCGAGGGAAGGGTGCTGCATCTACTCACATCGTCCACCATGAGGGTTGCGATGGCTCTGCCGATCTCATTGTAGGATTTGGCTTTTCCCGCCGGACCAAGGAGAATAAAGAGGAACCTGGGAAGGGAAAGGCACCACGTTGGCAACCTTGGACCACCAACATCCGTGTTGTGAGACCAGCCAGTGCTTCAGAATCGAAGGAATCGCTCTCACCTGGTGGGGACGGGCACCTCCGTCACCCCTCCCAGCATCGTCGCCTGGAGGAGCCGCACGAAAGCCACGAAGGGTTTCTCCAGGAATTCCACTTCTCCCACCAGCACATTGGAGGCCTCCGCATCCTTGGGGATCTTCTTGATGAACTTGTTCTTCAGCTGTTGGAAAGACAAGGGTGGGGAAGGGAGAGGTTGAAAATTTTGGCTTTTCCCCCTTTTTTTCCATGCCCTGAATGCAAAAAGCTGAAGCTGCAAGCTCCAACCTCTTCATCTCTGATGGTCCCGGGACTCCCAGAGGTGGGGGTGGAAGAGCCACATCCAAGAAGAAACCAACAAGAATTCATAAAGCTGAATTTCTTTCATATTCAAAACCATCACTCAACTCGAGATTAACTCGAAACCACCCTCGAGGCTCCCTGATAGGATGTGCAACCGGGCGCTTTGCAAAAGGTGCTTTGCTGGGCTGGGGTCTACGCATGGAAAACCTCCTGCAATCCCCCTGCAGAAAATCTGAGCCAAAAATTACAGGTCCTGGAGCAAGAAGCATGAATTTTTGCAAGCCTGATTGCACTGGGCTCCCCCCAGACCCTCTCTAACACCGAAACACCCCTCGGTGCTGTGCACTGGGGGGATTTTTGGAGCTTATTCCTCCCCAATCTCGTCCTGGGAGCAGGAACAAAATAATGGAAGTAGGAAACCTCGTTCATGGATTTATTCCCCAGGTCTCTTCTCCCCTGCAGCTCTTTCATTACGAGCGTAAAAGGTTCAATACCGACCAGGCAGGGTGTTATTCTAATCTATATGCCAGCATGAGGGGAGGCATGTGAGCCGGGCAGCAAGCTCTCCCCTTTTTAATCTTTTAAACCCAAATGGAAAAAAAAAAAAAAAAAAAAAAAAAGAAATAATAATAATAAATCAGCTCCTCCAATGCAGGAGTTAACAGTGACCCTAAGCTGCTGTAACACTTAAAAAGTCCCTTTGTAGTGGGTCTAATAGGGCGATTAAACCCAAATGCTTTGCATATTTTGGGATTAACCCTCCGCACCCCAATGCTGGAGGCTGATAGTTGGGGTTCGTTAGTGGACAGGTGGCTTGCTTCATCACAGCTGTAATTTAGGATGTTCTGGAAACCTTTTGCCTCCCTGATATTGTGGCATCTCCATCCTGTGGCTCCCGGCAGCACATGAATTTCCAAACTTCGCTTCCCCCTAAATTGCATCACCCCAGGTCAGCCCAGCAAGGACATCCCTGGGGAAAAGCAAAAGCTGTCATCTGTCATCCCCTAATGTCCCCTACAAACCCTTGTTGCATTTAGTTTTTCTTTAAATTGATGCTGAAACCATGCACAAAGAGAAAAAAAAGCCAAACCCATCGAATGCACCCAACAGCTTCGATGCCGGGATGGGGACGGGACATCCAGCAAACGAACGGCACAAAACCCTCCTGGGCTGTCACATCACCCAGCAGAGATCTGCCCCAAACCTGCCCCAAAAACCTGACCTCCTCCCCAGCTCTCCCATCCAAAGCAACCAAGGGAATTAAGAAATCTCCATCCACCAGGCTGCAAACGAAGGGAAACAATGAAACTTGGCTCCGTATTTGCAGACCCAAGTGCTTGTCTGGGATTTACCCCCTTCCACCTGCCCTCACCCAGCCAAGCAAAGGCTCTTTTAGGACCCCTCCACTCTTCCAAGCACCTTTCCTTTCCTACTTAAAGATTTTAAGGATTTTTTTCCCCACCCTAAGGATCTGGGCTCTCTTAGCATCCTCACACGTCCCTAATTCTGCGCTCAACGTGCAAGCGCAGGTGTTATTTCTGGGACAGCTTCCCCACGAGTGAGCAGGGATCGATACGTGTATTAATTTCCCTAATTAGCAATCAGGGCGGTTATCGACCCAGAGAAACCACACAAGGCTCACATGGGACTTAACAACCACAGAGCTCCTGCCCCATCACGGGTCGTGTCGGAGCGGCTCCTCGCAGCATCACAATCATGTTTTCGGGGGGAGTTACCTGGTCGGTGCTCGGCATGTCCGAGATGTCGTTCATGCTCCGACTCTGCGCGTGACCTGATGGAGATAAGAGAGAAGGTGAGAAAAAAACCACCCCGTGATCCACAGCCTGATTTCAGCCCCGCGTGCACGGAGAAAACGTGGTGGGAGGACTTCAGCACACATTTAAAACCATTATTTATTACAGCTGGGCTTGAAAACCAGGCGCAGGAAGATGAAAACCCAACAATGTGAGTTTTTCTGATATTCATCACCCTGCGGCTATACGAAATTACAAGGATGCCCTTGTCATTGCAATCCCCCACTCTCATGTTGCAACTTATTTTTTTCCCCCCCTCTGTGCTTCTTTAAGGGCGGTTTTTCCCTCCCCGGCTTACGCAGGCGGCCGTAGCTGGCGCTCTGCCGCATCCGCAGGTCCTCGGTGGAGCGGTGGAAGGCGGCGCCGGCGGCCGGGCTCCGGACGGGGCTGCGGGCTGGGGGGAAAGGAGCCGTCAGAGGAGATGCAGGTGCCATGGGGAAGGGCTGGGTGATGCTGAAGGCTGAAAATCAGCTGCCCAGCACCCACGACGTGACCCTTCCAGTGCTGATCCACCAGCAATTTGCTTTTTCCTCCCACTCTCATTTGTGCTTTTATCCCACCCATCAGCATTTTTCCCATCAGAATAAACTGCCTTAACCCAGGTCTTCCTGCTGCAGAGAATCCGTGCGAGGAGCCCGCACCCCCCACGCCCCACCAGCGCTCCCTTCGAGGCTATAAATGGGTTCAGAAGCGCAGTTTCTGATACTTTGGAAGACCCGACGCTTTATTTGGTTTTTTAATCTAATTCTCCAAAGAAACCTACACTCGACGTTTGCTACGATCTTCATGCTGCAAAACATTTCTGTTGGCCACCACCAAGTTTCTCGTGAACGTTTCTTCTCCCTAAACTGGTGGCAAGTCCCATTTTTTTAATCTCAGATGTTTAAACTGAATTATTTAGCTCGAAAGACTTCCCTCCTCCCCAGGCATTTTCGGTGTTAAGCCCAGCATTTTCTGCGAAAACCTCCTGAATTCTCCAAACTGTGTTTTCCTTGGGACAAACACATCTGGACCAGTTTTGTCGAGCTGCTCTGCATCTCTGGGAAACACCAGCTGCAGCCACAGCATCTATCCTCTTTTATTATTTTTTTTAAAACCCATTAAGAATAACAATAAAACTCCCACTGAGCATGACCCTATTTCCAGGGTGCCGGTGGCTATTTTTTCCAACATTACGGAGTTGCCGTTGGCACAAGAAATGCGAAGGGACCCCTCTGCTCCTGCCAACAACCATCTCTTCTTTGGTGTCCCTCTTTGCAAACGCAAAGTGACGTCATCATCTCAGCAAGGAACTAGAAGCATGGAAGATGCCCCTATTTTTGATTTTTTAAGATATATATTATCTACAGGGACTAACCACAACATTTCCAAGTCGTGCTCCATTTTGAAGGTTTCTGGGCCAACGGTAGCTCAAATATCATGTCCTCTGACATGGATGATGGTTGTTTTGAAACCTGGGGATGCCCAGGAGGTGGGAATATTGCTCATTGATGGCCTCTCCCATGTGTGCTGCGAGCTTGGGCACCGCTGTTTCTGTCTACCCGGGGAGCAGCCGAAGCCCGGCAAATCCCGGGCTCCACCAAATGACCTCTGTTTAAACCTAAGTAAATAATCTAGTGTGAAAACAAACAAATCCCCTTTTATAAAGGCTCAAAAATAGGCAGGTTCAACCACGGAGCAGACTGGATTTGTCTGTAGGCTGCTCTGCCAGGAAACCCCTTGGCCAAGGGACCGCCAGCGCTGCTGGCCATCACACAACACTGCTGGCCATCACACAACCACGCAACGCCTCGGGCCATCACACAACGCTGCTGGCCATCACACAACACTGTTTGCCATCACACAACACTGTTGGCCATCACACAATGCCACTGGCCATCACACAATGCTGCTGGCCATCACACAACGCCGCTGGCCATCACACAACACTGTTTGCCATCACACAACGCCACTGGCCATCACACAACACCGCTGGCCACCACACAACGCCGTTGGCCACCACACAACGCTGCTGACCATCACACAACGCCACTGGCCATCACACAACACTGCTGGCCATCACACAACACTGTTTGCCATCACACAACGCCGCTGGCCATCACACAACGCTGCTGGCCATCACACAACACTGTTTGCCATCACACAACACTGTTGGCCATCACACAATGCCACTGGCCATCACACAATGCTGCTGGCCATCACACAACGCTGCTGGCCATCACACAACACCACTGGCCACCACACAACGCCGCTGACCATCACACAACACCGTTGGCCATCACACAACGCCGCTGGCCATCACACAACACTGCTGGCCATCACACAACATTGCTGGCCATCACACAATGCCATCGGTTGGCATCACACAATGCCATCGTCCATCACACAACACCGTTGGCCATCACACAACACCGTTGGCCATCACACAACACCGTTGGCCATCACACAACACTGTTTGCCATCACACAACACTGCTGGCCATCACACAACACCACTGGCCACCACACAACGCCGCTGACCATCACACAACACCGTTGGCCATCACACAACGCCATCGTCCACCACAACGCCACTGGCCATCACACAACCCCGTTGGCCATCACATAATGACCTTGTCCATCTCAGCAGATATCTCCTTGGCTTCTGGCTGCCAATGACCCCCCAACATTAAAGGCACCAGTGGCAGAGTTTTTGGGATCTTTCTCAATGCAGCTGGGTGTCCCAAATGGTTGGGTTTCCCACTTTCCTGAGATCTTCCTCCCCCCAGGTTTGCTCACTGATGACTCAAGGATGCAACCAGGCACAGGTTGGACCCCAAGAACTCACTTGTGTTGGAAGACACAGATTTTCCGATGTCGGCCAAGGACCGGTGGATTGGCTTCTTGGTTTGGTGACGGTGCTTCCTGAGGAGCACGTAACTTATCTTCTCCCGCAGCTCTGGCTTGAGCAAACCGTCCTCGATCTGCTTCTCGATGACATCGTCTGCAAGCATTGAATGAAGGATGGGCTACCCCACTGCAAACCCTCCCAGAAAGCTCAAGACAACAATTATTGAACCAAGTTGGTGGCTCTCAACTCCCGTCTTTGCGTATTCTTGTTGCAGTTGGTTTATATTTGCACGTGGCAAGTTAAATGTATTTAAATGTCTTCCCAGCACCTTAGGACATGGGGAAAAATCCCTCTGAAATCACTGATACCCGCCTCATACCTATGATTTGGGGCAAAGAGTAGCCATCTAAGTCCAGGAGCACCGTTCCCGTCTGTAGACACGTCCGGAGCTCAAACAGGCTGTGCAAAGACAACGTGGACACGTGGGGCTTGCTCCACCTCTCGCCGCCTTCCTCCACCTTTTCTTCAAACTTTATCCACCTGAAATGACAGCAGCAGCCGTTGGGATGGGCTCGGAGTGGGGATGGTGTATGAGAAGAGAATTTTAAAAATTGCTTTTTCCTTCTGCAGGTGGCTTTGCAAACTGTAATTAATTCATCCTGCAAAGTTTTTGCTTGTTATTCGGGATGGGGATAGAGAAATAATAATAATAAAAAAAAAACACAAACAAAAAAAAAACCTGCTCACACAATTGCAGAGCAGAGCAAAACCTCTCAGCTCCACCATTGAACTCAACCCTGAAGATTTCACCCTCCTCAAATGGCTCCTGTGAAACTTGGGAGGTTTTCCCATGGAGCTGACCTTGCCTTAGCCAGGATCCGCACCGCACGGACTAGCCGCAGACGCAGAAAAGCAAAAACCCAGCGCATTGCAAATATTTTTTTAATTCCTTAGCAATGCTCAGGCTTCAACCTGGGCACTTTCTTCCCACGGTGGGAGATGAGAAGGTTTGCAAGCCCGTGAAAATCCAACCTTCCACCTCTCTGCTTTAATTTTCCAAACCAAAGACTTCAGGAGAAATTCAGGAGCGGTGGCTCATTTCTCCCAGGGGAACGGGGCTCGGACTCTCAGGAGCACAGGGAGCCCTCGGCAAGACGTCGGTTTGGGGAAAAAAAGCTGCTTTTCCTTCACAGGAGGTTTGGAGGCTCTGGGGATTAGCTTCACTGGGCTTAACCTTCCAACTTTTAACTGGTACAACTGGGATTTCAGCTCCTGTGGACACAGATGGCACAGATGGAAAGGATGCAGGAGAAGGGGTTTTGGAAATATCTGATGGCTCCAGAATGCTGCGGGGGAAGCGTGGGGAGAGCCCGCGATTCTATCGGCTACAGCAGGGTGCATTAAAATGCTGCTGTGAAAATAAAATCTGGGGTGTCCCTATTAAAAAAAAAAAAAAATTATCTGGGAGTGCCAGGAATGGCTTGTGCTGGAGGACAAAACCCCAGAGCATCCAAAAAATATAAAATTTGGTCCTCGAGCCCATCCCTCCAAAGCTCCCCACCCCGATTTCTCTGCAGAAGCTTTCCCCAGCCCTTCAAACAACACCGCTTTTATTGAGAAGCAATTCAAGCTTCCCGCCGTCGCACCAAAGCCGATTAGCTCGGTTTTCGTTTCTCTTTTTTTGCCCCGTTTTCCTGCCGAAAGTGGGTTAGCACGCACACGGGGTGGCGTGTGGGACTCGAGGCACATTTCCAGCGACGCCTTTGCCCCGGGACCAGCATCCCGTGATGCTTTCGCTAAGGTTGGAGCAAAACCCCATCTCCCTGCTGCCCGGGGTTTCTTTTTTCCCATTTATTTCCATTTATTGTGGATTTAGCTGCAGGTAGCACTGCTCCCACCAAGGAGCTGCTCTCCTGCGGCTCAAGAGCAGAAATCCAGGACTTGAGAAACTTCCATCCTGCTGGGTAGAATTTGGAAACCTCCATCTCAAGCCCTCCCTGATGAAATCCCCACGAAAACGCTGATTTTTTGCCTTCAGACCTATGGAAAATGGCGGGGGGAAAATAAAGGATTTTAGCAACAGCATCCCCGTGCTGCTGCGTTTTGAGCAGGGATGGCAACCAGGAGGATGCTGAGGAGCTTTCCGAATTTTTGGTGATGCCAATACCCAGCCCAAGAGCTGGGATGAGCACCCGCAGGGCCTGATCCTGCTTCTCTTCCCCATCCCTCAGGCAAAATTCCACACGTGGACTCGGAAATCCCGCGTGTGCTACTGAAAGGAAAGGGCTTGGGATGCCACCAGCATCCCCAACTGCCTTCCCGAAGCCCCAGAAAAACCCCCAACCCTACTAGTCCTTACCCAGCTGGGGCTACGAAGGGAAAATCTCACTTGGGTTTGAGATTTTTTTCCCTTGGGTAAGCTCCTGTTTCAATAAAGTGAGCACCACTTGCAACTCCTCTAATATTTTCATTAAAGATGCAGTGGGTGGGTTTTGATTATTATCGCTTGAGGGGTAGGAGAAGTTTAACTCTTGGCCCGGCCAGCAAAAGTTGGGGGAAAAAAATGATCTTTCTGTCCCCTATTCCCATTTCCCACTTTTCTGCTCTCATTCTCCAGTTTCCCAGCACATCACCCTGGTTTTTTTCCCCCTCCCAGCCCCTTCTGCGGGGCTTTGCTCTCACGCTGCGACTGGGATGGGAAAAGCCCCAGCGCTGGGGTCGATCCAAGCTGAGGAGATGCAGGAAAAGACGGGAAATCTTCCTCCCTTCCTTCTCCTCCTCCTCAGCAGGCTGCAGCTGCCGTGCAAAGCCCCCGAAGCATCGCGTTTTCTGCATTTCCCTAAATCCAGCATGGCTTTTTTTAACCTTATTAAAAATGCTGCTCATTCCCTGACCCCATTTCCACCCGGGGATATTGAGGGAGGGATTTTTACCCGACTTATTTTCACCCCAAAGCATCTCCCCGCTCCTCACCTGGCCGACTCTTTCCACTCCATCTCCTCGCCGTCGTGCTGCAGCGTGTCCATCTCCGTGAAGAGCGTGGGGTTGGGAGCTTCATCCTCTTCCCCCAAGATGTAGCGGAGACGTTCGGCGGCTGGCGACACTGTCGGGGGTGAAAAAAAAAAAATAAGAGGTTTGTCATCAGCCAGAGACGAGGTAATCCTGCACCATCCCCATAGGGAAAACCCCAGGGGGGGCAAAGGGGGATCTGTAGGGTTAGTTAGGATCCTGGGGTTAAAAAAAAAAGGAAATTTGGAGGAAAATGTTTACGATGAGAGATCCTGAGGATGGGGAAACTCTAAGGAATGCTGTCCCACAGTCCCTGCGCAAAGAGGCGCGGGATGCTGGCGGAAAGGACGAGCGGAGGCTGCGGAGGGGAATTCATAGGGCTGGGAATCGAGGAACGTGGCCACTGCTACATCCCATAGAGTCACATTCCCCTTCCAGGAGCATTATACGCCCCATTTCCGTGGGATATCCCTCTTTTTCCTACCATGGAGCCTGGTTTTGGCCAGCTTAGAGCCTCCTGCCATCAGCAACCGAATCCTTACGGTCTCCGGCGCGGCAGATAGGGATGCCGAGCGCTCTGCACGCATTTTCCCATGGGATCCCCAAGGGGAACGTGCATCATTCGAGGGGAAAAATATAAATCTACCATTTCTGCAAGGAAAAAATCCAGCTTTTTGCTGCCAAATAACCAGCCAGGCTGGAGACAGCACTTATTGCCCCCCCCCGCCTTTGGTGGGTTTCGGGGAGCGGTGACACGTCACCTGCCTGCAAACCTGATGGGAAAACAGTTTTTCATCTTGGGTGCATTCCCTCTGGTCACAAGAGGGTGACGGACCTGCCCTCATCCTGAAAAAAAAGCCAGGCTGGGTTTTCTTTTAACCCTCTCCATCTTCATGAGTTTTTCCAGCAAAGCCTCAGAGTTTTGGCTGCAGGGAGGATTCAAACACCTGGGTATGAACCTGGACGTGGGGCTGCTCCCCAGCTGCCCCGGGATTCAAACAAAAGGTTAAAATCAGCCAAACGCCATAGGAATAATGTTATTTTAAATAAAACCTTGGTCTTAGCCCTCTCCTAATGACAGCAGGAGTTAATCCAGCTCCTGTTCGTTAGCAGGATCCTCCCTGTTCTTAAACCTGGGAATAAGAAAGTCAGGTAACAGGGTACCCCAAAAAAAAAGGCAAATAATGACATTGCCGTGTGCGAGCAGAGGAAAAACAGGGAATATTGTCCCGTCCCCCGCAAAAAAGCAGAGAAACCCCAAGCTGCCCCAGCCGGGAAGGAATAGGATGTCCCCGCGCTCCCGGCTGAGCCTGCTCAACCGCTGCAGCCCGCTAAGCCCCGGCACCAGGACTAAAGCCTCGTGTCAGCTCCACCTTCCGCTTCCATAAGCCTCCTTACGATGATTATTAATATTCCGGGTAACTTCAGAGCTGTTCGCGGAAGCCGGGATGAAATGGGTGCGATACCGGGAACAACCCCCCCTGGGCTCACTCCGTCGGCTTCGCTCCACAGCCCAAAACCTGAAATTTCCTGCAAAACCCCAAATTTGCTGTGAATGCAACAATCCAGATCGCGGCAAAAGGAGTGTTTTGCTGGAAGTACCTGTATTTTTGGATGCATTTGTAAAAAAGGGGATTTGCAATTTTGCAGGAGGGGGGACGGTTGGAAACTGCTGGGAACCACAAACCATAAAGGAAAGCTTGCATATAAAGTCCCTTTTTTGTTTTTTTTTTTTTTTTTTTTTTTTTTTTAGCATTTTCCCCCATTCTCCCCCAGTTTTAGGCACAAACCCATCTCTCGACACGCGGCAGCCGCCTCCTCTCCCCGCCGCTCGCTTGCTGACTTTTTTTTGCCGGTTGCTAAACCAACAGCGCCGGGGCTTTGCCTCGTAGCCAAAATTCCTCACCTGGAAAACCCTTTCGTGCCTGGGGAAGAGCCCAGCCCCGCAGCTGCTTACAGCCCAGCTCTCCATGGGTTTTTTTTTTTTAAATTTTTTTCCTCCTGGGAAATTTGGTTCAGCACCTCAGTGAATCCCGGGAAGCAGCAGGTGCTCCCTCGGGAGGACACGCTGAACAGCGATGTCCAGGGCTCAGCACCTCCGGGGAATGCCAGAGTAAAAGCTGCTGCAGCGACAACGGCCAAAACCCACAAATCCACCCCAAAACCAGCACCGGTTTGTTGCAAGACACAGGTCAGCAGGTGCCTAGAGCAGACTGGGATGTCCCTGAACCAGTTTTTACGATGGGAAAACGCTCAGAGCTGTGATTGCTGCTTTAGACCCATCAAAGCTCCACCGCGATTTCGGCCACGGGGGATCCGAATGCAGCCGCGGACGCAGAACCAGCCCGGCGGTGATGCTGGTGACGATATCGGGTGATTTCATGTGCACAAGAGCACATTTCCCTGGGCAATCAGACAGGACAGGCTGATTTATTCCTCCTTTAACTGGAGGTGCGCAGAGCCCTCAGCACCCCAACTTTGCTCCAGTGGTAAAACCTCCCCTGGCGACGCTTTTCCAAACCAAAAACAGAATAAAAAAGGTGAGAAGAGGGGACAGGGGACTGTGGTGTCGCTGGGGGTTTGCAATCCGCCTGGGCAGCGGGACTAAGCCTTATTTACGGCTCCGGCACATCAACCGTCCGCTGTCGTGCTCCTGCTGGATCCGCCACAGCCTCTCCCTGGGGTTTCATGGCTCAGAAGGGCCCCCCCCCAAAAAAAAGAGGAGCCTGGGGTGTGCATCCCACGGGGTCAGATGCTCCATTCCTGTTCAAGATAACCCCACGTCTGGGAGAGTTTTCTCCTTCCAAATATCATCTTTTCTCCTTCCAAATATCGTTTCTGCTGCTCCTCTGCTGCTGGGGAGCAGCGGAAGCCGATACCGTCCCCCCCACCTCGTTATATTTTTGGGGTGAGCTTTGGAGCTCGCTGCCCTGGGTGAGCGATCAACCCAACCCACCCAGTTGCTTTTACAAGGGAAAAGCAAAGCTGAAAAAAAACCGAATCAAAGCTTTTCTTCCCCTGCACTCCCCCCCACCACGGACACCGCAGAGCGATGGATAGAACCTACCTGGAAGCGTTTCCTTTTTTTCCCCCATTTCTTTCCTGCTAAACCAAACCTTCGCTGCACGGTACGAAAAAAAGGAAAAAAACAAAACAAAACCCCAAACCACCAAACCTCCAAACTTCCTCCTTTATCCACTCAGGCTTGTTAAACTCCCGAGGCTTGAGCAGATTATGGAGAATAAAAAGCACTTTCCTCTCCCTTCAGCTC